ATGGAAAAACTCTTCTACAATAATACAGAATATGTCCTTCTATGCCCCAAACTATGTCCTTTCTAAAAATTATCTGATTGCCTTTCAACCATCTAGTTTCCTATAGCTAGTAAGTTCCTTATGAAAGACAGGATAATAATACCAACACTCATTAAGTTTTAAAAACAGGGGGTTATATAGTTTTGAAGAATACATAGGGAGAAAGGATTGGTAATAATCTTGTCCTGGTGCATAAGATTCATTGTGAGATTTAAATGCAATTTTTAAAAGCGTTTTTAAACTTAGGAAAAGATACAGAGGTTCACACCATGCTCTTAGAGCACAAGATCAAGTTGAAAATGAAGCCTTTTTCTCAAGGAATTATATGAAAGGCTGTTAGAGTAAGATTTACAGTGATGGGAACGCTCTTGTTTTCAGGCAAGTTGATTGAATAAATCTGTTGTGGGTTTTTCTGGAAGAGAGACAAACTTGTGCAGTCTTCTTTCCTCCTAAATAAGAGTGCACAGAGACAGGATCTCAGGTCTGCAGGTCTGTAGCAGATGCTTTTGATACAAAGTGATCTGCTTTAAGCACATCTGATTCCTGAACCATCACACTGTGTAATGTCACATCCAGTTTCCCAACGAGCCAAATGCTGCTGAGAGCCAAAGCCACTGTCCCAGTCACTCTCCACTCTGATTTGCTGACATATGTGGTGCTCATATATTCTCCCCCAGCCATGATTTTATTATCTGGTACAGTCAGCAAAAAGCTTTTGCTCTCCTTTTATTTGCATAGGGACATACTCATCCTTCTTTGGTTGATTTGTAATTACTGAGATAAAAACATCAGGATTTATGATATCTTGGAGATGCCATGAATTTGAGGACACTCATCTGTTAATGTGCAGGCTCTCAAAAGGTAATTACTGCTGGGTGTCTAAAGTCTCTACAGGATGAGAGATAAAGGTGTAAATAGCTCTTGACCAAGTGCCCTCCCTGGAGTCCTAAACAAGAAGGATGAGCTTTGCAAAGTCTTGCAATCATAACCAAGCTGAAAGAATTGTCCTTCCCCTTTTAATAATTCAGCTGTAATGGTAGCTAAAAATTGTGGCAGGGCTGGAGGAAAGCTGTTCTTTCAACTGAAGAGAAGGATGGAAGTAGTCTGGGAGGTCCAGGACAGCATCCAGATGAAGAAAGCAAGGAGTGCTGAGCAGAGGAAGAAAAAGCCCTTCAGTACAAAATGCAAACAGAGGTACCAAGAGGAACAAGCAACCAAAACCAAGCCTGAAGTGTCCTGTGCACGAGACACTGGCAGTAACCAACAGAGCAGTCAGAGCACTGCAGCTTCTGATGGAGGGCAGGGTGGGATGTGCACACTGAGCAGCTGAAGGACTCAGCCCAGAAACAGCTGGCTCAGCTCTGGCTCAGGCACTCTGTGGGCACACACAGATTCCCACTGGGACAGGCAGGGGCACATGGGAGCCTCCTGAGCAGGGAGAAGATGCTGTTTGAGTGAGCTGAACATGGTCCCCAGGAGGGGACTCCTCTCATGGTCTCAGCTGCCTTGGGTCCCCACCCTACACGTGGCCATGCACTGACTGGGATGCTCAAAAACAACCGAGGGGAGAAAGGGGAGAGAAGGGTCTTCACCTTTAAACCTATAAAGTCACTCTAAGCTCTCATTACACTGAGTTACTGAGCATCCACAGCACAGAAAGGGGAATAAACTTTGATTTGGGTTTATATCTTTAATAGATGCATATGAGTAACAAGGTAAAGGACTTTGTGCTATCAAAACCTCTGCTTGCAAACATCACCTGTCTTTTACAACGTGCTAGTCACAGAACTCTACATGACTATAAATTAACATCCTTTGTTATGCCTATATTATTGTTTAGCACAAATGGAGTACATTTACAAAATACATTCAGTCATAAATATCACCACTGTTATAGTTAGGAAAAGGCTTAAGTTTTGAAATATTTAGATACCATTTAATAATAAAAATCACTGAATCAATCATATCACATAGTTCTATGATTTCTCATGTTGTAATCTCAACTTTCAACTGTTTTGTTTAACAGCACAAATGGGCTGTTTATAAATCTACCAAACTATCAAAATAAACCAGAAGGTTCTTTGCAATACTCAAGAAAAGTCAAGAAAACCCCAAAATTAGGAGAGATGACTTACTAAAGTGTAGGTCTATGTATTGTTAAATGCTAAGCCCCTGCTGCCTCCACAGAGCTTTCTACTTTGTCCAAGTCCATATATGTCATTCCCACAACTGTCACACACAGAGCAAATAGGAACTAACTACAAATAGTCTTTAAATCTCAATGACTAGTATTTGAAAAGTTGGAATGAAACACAATTTGTGCATTGGACAAATACAAACTAAGCCATTTCTAATGCAATTTTATCCACCAATGAATTGCTGATTAGACAGATACAAGGCTTTCCTAAACACAGACATAGCAATGTCATGAAAATAAAATTAATTTCTTAGGCAGAACTATGAAAAACAAATTAATTTTTAATTTTGGTGCAGTTTCAAAAGTCTGCATTCACATCCATTTACAGAAGTGCATGATAAAAGTTCTCATATCATTGAATAAATGCCTTTCAGATTTTAGGTCTGTGAAATCTGAGTTCCCTAAGAGTTAAACAATTGTAGAGAATTCTAAAATTACTGACTTTGAAATGTCAAACCAAGCATAGACTTAACTACAAACTCCCTGTGCAGTACTAAAGCAAACTTGGCCAAAAATATAAACAACAGCATATGCAATATGATGGCAAAAAGGCAATCTCTGTACTGAAAAAATGCATACCAAAATAGCTAATACATACATACATTCTTTATACATTCTGTATACATTGCTTTGAATGACAGAGAAAATTGAGAGACTGAAAGCGAGACTTGCAGCTCAACATGTTCAGCTTATCAAAATTAGATACAAAAGCAATTGATTTATATTGTTACTTATTTTAAGATACTAATAGCTGACAAAAATAACCAGACACAAATAAATTAGAATCAACACGTGTATGTATATACATATTTTTTTAAATCTCTTTGTCTCTTCATTTCAAATCTGGAATGGACACTTACTGAAAGATATGTGTCAAGCAAACCAGAGGAATGTCTTAGTGAGACAGTGAGACAAGAAGCTGTGCTCAATAAAAAGCTCAGTGGAAGAAAACTGCAGGGATTTTACCAGCAGAATAGGCAGAGTATGGAAACATCAGCTGAGCCCACATTCAGGACAGCTCCTGGCAATGTAGAAAATCTTTATGCAATGTATAGATTCATACAACAGTGTGTATTTAATTCACCCATTTGTTGCCAGGATGAAGAACACATATATTGTGCACAATAATGTCCTGCTACATCCACAGCACAAAGCAAAATGATTAGTATGTTAAGATAATTGGATAAGGAAGCAGAAACTCATATCCTTGATTAGCTACAGGATCGTGAAATTGAAGAAATTTCCCCAAAAAGAGGAATAAAAGAAACAGTATTAGCAATGGCTCTGAAGGAGAGGTGTCACTGCACAGGAGCATGATGTGAACATTCAGTTTGAGCAAGTTACAAAACCAGAAATTGTGAGCAGGTCAGAAGGAGTGAAGGGCTGTGGAGCCACAGGAGAACTGCCCAAAACTTGTGATGACATGGAAATTAGGGTCTACACTAGCAGGGCTTTTTTGGCTCGGATTTCACTGTGACAGTCACTTTTGGGGCTACACACAACCAAACCTCTAAAGTTCTGGAAAATATTTGTGCACACTTGTTTTCAAACTTTGATTGAAACTACAGGCCTCAGCATTGCAAGCCCAGGTACAAACATTCCCTACAACCTTGTGCACCATGGGGTGGGGGCTTGCTCTTCTCAAGATTACTTTGAGAAATTCCTGTGTAGGAGGAAATCATTTGGGTTAGATGCATGTGTCTATTAGCCTGTCAGAATAATAAATTGCTTATTGCTTCTCTCTTTGTAAGTATGATGTGAATTTATAAATCTACAGAAATTAGAAGTTGAACATAGAAAAATTCTATATTTATTTGGAAGCATTACCCTTTATAACAAGGAAAATAAGTAACTCTTCTGAACCACCTCTGATCTGTAGGAACTCTTTTTCCAATTTTAGCAATGCTCTGTCAGCACAATAACTGACAATCTGTCCTGACATTGCTGGGAAAACCTTCTCATATTCTTTTTCAAGACCGTCAGACCCAGACAGACTCAGGGCTAGAATGACAGGCTGATCGAATCAGTCAGACAAAACAGAGGGTTCCTAAATATAGCAAGCCTGTGCTGATATTCCCAGCAAGGTATTCTGAGGTTTTAGTACATATAACAGGTGACTGGGAAATTCTGCAGCACTGTGTGTGCCTCTGTGTTAATAATGTACCACACTTTATTGCTGAGACATGAACAAAGCCAACCTTTACAAAATGCCTTCAAATATCAATGATGTCTTTCCACTTTTAAGCCTGTAAACCTAAACCAACTACAAATAAATAAATAAATAAATAAATAAATAGACACAGTCATTTTTCTGATATGGCTTCTGAGATGTTTTTCAGCATAGTCATTTGACTCCCATAGTGTGAAGTTCACATATGCATATTAATCACTGGGCCCCAAAAATATCTCTGGTGTCTCTATCACTTTACCATAAGTCCCTTCAGACTAAACTTTCCTGCTTTGCACATTGAGCTAAGAAACTCTTACAACTATTTTCAGGCAGCTGAATATGACAGAATTGACCTCCCTTGCACATAAACATTTAGGGAATGACTCTTAACACACAGCAATGTAACATTAAGAAGTTTTTAAGGCTTTTGTTGGAAACCCCTGCCTTAGTATAATCTATGGCCAGCTTGTTATGAGAGTTGACTTAGCAAGAATACTAAGAAATACCTGTTTCCATGGACCAGAGTTCTCTTTTTATGACTGGTTCTTGCCTTAAGCAGTGAACAGAGGAAAGGGCTGTGTCCCAAAACCTTACCTTCCAGTAAGTCTCTTGCCAGACCTGGTTCTGCCCCTGTGGACCGAACAAAGTCTGACAGGACTGCATCCATATCAAGAGTCATGTGCTCATCCAGAGGTGCTGCCAGACATGCAGCAGCAGCAGGACTCGCTGGTGGGCTACAAGGAATCCATCTGCCAAGGAGAGACAGGGGTCAGAATGTACTCCAACGTGATGGAACCCACGTTGTTCCTCTCTTCCCCAAACAAGACTATTAAAAATGCTAAAACATTCATGTTACAGCATATTAAAATAAACAGCATTTGTCATCCCTCTCTGCCTTAGCCCAGAAGCTGTCCATCACTCACACTGAAAGGTTTTCTCTATCTTAACATTTCATATTTTTATTGATTTTTCTTATGTGCAGCTTGTAAATAATCCTGCAACTTGGAGACTCCAGTTCAGCAAACCACAGGCTCTGTTCATTAAAGGCACAATCACCACATCATTGTCACTGCTCATAAACTGAGATTTAGCAAGTATTTAAATGCCTGGCTAGCCTAGAGCTCCTCTGCCTTCCTCATACTAACACAGATACAACAGAGCTTAGGATTTGTGCTTTTATTTGCCTTGTCAGTACAACTTCTGTCATTTATAGATTCTCCACTGTCCTGGGTCTGGCTGGGATGGAGTTAATTTTCTTTGTTCCTTCTCTGGAGCTGTGGCTGCAGCAGCATTGATAACAAACACATCAATATTGTATCTCTGGGGCAGTGCTCACACAGACACAGCCCTTGGCCGTGTCCTGCTCTGCCCCCACAGTGGCTGGGCTGGGGGTGGGCAGGAGGCTGGGAGGGGACACAGCTGATACTACACTAATTTACAGGGTTTATTTGGTTTATTATTTTGTTCTCTTTCAGTGCTGTAGCTGCTGAGCAGTTGTGACTGTGTTTATGAGCAGTCTGGGGGGGACACCCTTACCAGGGAACTCTCCTGGGGGCACCATCACCCAGGGAGCTGTCAGGAACCAGATCATGTGACACAATGTCTGGCATGGGAATTTTTCTTGCCAAATCCATTCATGACAAAAATACATCTGCTCTACTGCACTTTGTAGTAACTTTTTTATTCCTGAAAACAGGAAACCTTTACTTCTAGGCAATGGTCTCTACAAATACCAAATAAAAATTAAGGCAGGCATTACAAGAGTAGTTGATGCCAGTCAACCTATTAAGACTGCTGGAATTTAAACCACAGTTATCCTAAAGGTATTTCCATATTTCTACCCTGCCTGCAGCACTGCAGAAATAGTGCAAAGCAAACAGGATGAAGTTAAACAATACACAACATAAGAAAAAGTGCAGGGTTTACTTTCATGCTTGTTATTCATCATTGGTCAAAGTTTACCTTTGAACATGAATTGGATTTTTCCTGTTAATTCCTCCTCATAGGCTCAGTTGCAACTTTATCCTGTGCCAAGGGTAAGGACTGACATGGAGATTTCCTACTGGCAGCAGATGATGTTGGTTGGCTCTTGATTGCACCACAGCTACAGAGAAATACACTGCGAAAGAAATTGGAAACCAGTTGATTTCCCTGTCCCCCAAATGAATCACAGTCCTTTCCTACTTCACATGCAATTACCTGGTTATACTAACCTTAAAAATGGAACACCTTTGCCTTCTTAGAAATTGCCTTTTTCTGCAAGTACTTATCCCTGCCAGAATGCAAACCTTCTGCCCCAGGAGGGTGAGCTCCTTCTCAGCCTCATCCACGAGGACTGGCTGCTAAACCCAACTTACTCCAACTGACTAAAAGTTTGTGGGATATAAAATCACAGAATTGTTAATGTTGGAAGAGACCTTAAAGATCACAGAATCAATTAGGTTGGAAAAGACCTCTGAGATCAAGTCCAACCTTTGCCCAACCACCACCTTGTCACCTACACCACAGCACTGCCATGTCCAGTCGTTTCCTGAAGTTCTCACCTCTAGGGTGGTGAAACATTTATGCTTTTATACTATTTATACAAGTGTATCATTATGTTTGGGCCACATTAGGATAGCAGGGGAGGTGATCTTTTTCTCTCTATTCGTCCCTGGTGAGAATCATCTGAAGTATTATGTTCATTTCTGGACCCTCAACAGAAAGACATGGACACACTGGAGTTCAGCTAAGGACCACAAACTGCACTGGATCACCAGGGCACACGGGAAACACTCCTAAACTGTAACATAATCAAGATGTAGTAACAGAAGGAAAGCTGGAAATATTGAGGAGACTAGTTAAAAAGGAATGCAGACACTCTGGGAAGAGAACTACTTTAATGGATTATGGCCAAATTCAGCATCTAAGCTTTGTAGCAACTGAATCTGTTCCAACACAAATGCAGGGCAAAAATGCTACTTTTATTTCTAAGAAATACCCATACATAGATGCACTGTACTAAACAGCACTAACACCTGTACAAAAAGATGATGAGAAACTGAATACAACTAATTAGTGACTGGGAGAAAGAATGAAGTGAATCTTAGCCAGCAGGACAGAAACATAAGGAATATGCTAAAGGAACCTGCCCCAGATGATACAAAGCACTGGTGGATTTGAGATCACAATCAGGAGTGACTCAGCAGTATAATGACTGCTAATTTAAAATGCACCAGCTGGGCACCCAAGTACAGTCACTGTGTGGGGGTAAACTGCTCATGAGTTTGGAAAGCTGAAGTGAATATCAGCCTCAAGGAGCCAATTCATGAGTTGTCTCAGTATCAGCATTACTTCAGTATTTTCAACAGTAAAAAAGAGACATCCTTTTAAGAGCAGAAGACAAGACCAATCTCTGCATTTATGGCATCACCATCACCTCAGAATTATCTCATAGAACCTACACTCTGGAAGGAAGGAGCAGAGTTGGCAGGATCTTCCCTGTATACATGTGAACTAACACTGTTTTTTCCCCCAAGGAAGTTGTTTGCTCAGCTCTCTAGAATTTAGATATTAAACAAAATGTAGTAACAGATATTAGATTTTAGATATTAACAAAACAAAAAAAAAAACTAAACCACCAAGAACAAAACCCAACAGCAAAAGTCTTTAAAAAAATATTATCTTTGCCAGAAAACTCCTATTAGCTGTGAAAACCCTAAGCAAAAACTACTAAGCAAAAAGAGAAAATAAACTGTAAAGGAGGCAGTGAGTCAGGAGGCAGATGGTTCTCAGACTCCCTGTTCTCCCCAGATGAACAGTCTCTCCTCACCTACAGAACCACCAGCACCACCTTGGCTCTCCATGGCTTGTCAGAGCATTAACACAACTCACACTTTCCATACCCACACTTGTGCATGGTTGTGTTTGATCCCTCCCTTACACCCCCATCAACAATCATCACTCCTGTGGGTCACACCCTGCACACACAGATCCCTGCAGCTCTCACTGCACGTGTGTCACACGTGACACACACATGTCACTTCAAGCTGAGTGGAAACACAAACATCTTGAATGTCACAACACACAAAGACCTTGGTTTTCACTTACTTTTCTAGCCAAATTTCTTCCCTAAATAATTTCTTATTTATACAGTGCAAATACAAGAGGCAGTGAAAGGGGATAATTTGTTGCATATTATAAAAAAAAACCAAACCTTTTGAAAGTATTTAAAGAGGAGCTACTGATTACTTTGAAATGTTAAGATGCGTTAACAGGACTTGAAATCAATTTAATACAATCTCACTTATATTTGATCTTTTCTTCTCCTTTAAGTACCTCTCTCAAAACTGAGCCATACTTGGAAGCAAACAGTCTTCACCTGAATCTAAATTTGACTTCTTCAAAATCAAATAGCTTCACCCAGTTAAACAATATGAAGATATTTTTTTCTAAAGAAGCACAGAGATGTACAGGGTATCCATAACTAGTGACTCACAACCAAAGAACCAAAAGCAAGGATGTTAAAACAAATGCCACCCTGTGCATCCAGAATACAAGTAGCTGATAAAACCCAAGTGAGGAACAGAAAGAAAACAGCACATGAACAGTGCACAGATCCTCAGGAAGGCAGAATGACCAAACTGCATCCAAGATCTTGCACAGTTTTCAAAGGAAGGATGAAATAAGCACTATCAGGGAGATGCCCACTCTCGGTGCTTGAGGAAGCTGATGGAGAGACACTCATGGATTGCATTAAACCAGTTCCCCCCAGTTTGTTCTCACGTCCCTGCCCTGTGACCAGCCCAGTGCCCACTGACAGCCCTGATCTCTCAGCTCCTTGGCCACAGACAAAGGTGCTCCTGGGGGGGAGGTTCAGCCACTTGAGCTTGTGGCTGGGAAGGCAGAAAGGCCCCATCTGTGCACAGTTCCAGACTTTGGGAGTAATTCTGGCTGACAGGCCACATTTGATGGGCAATGCCATAATTCTACAACCTGGACAATATTATGAAATTGAACCAATGCATTAAGTAAGACCTTTTCTTCTAAGGGAAACATTTAAATGTTTTGAGAAATTCCACAGCCTGAGCTCATTCTTTTCTGCATGCAAAAAGGTATTTACCTACAATCCCACAGACATTTACATTCTTTAGTAAGCCAAAGAGTTTTTATTTGGTTATTACATTCCTCTGCTCCACCCTTTACTAGGTAGCTCTTTGCCAAATGATCATATATTTGATAAAAACTATTAAGTGAAAAATGATAAACAATCAAGTCCAGTAGGGAAGATTGGTTTAGGAGGAGAACATCAGCTTTAAGGGAGGTGGTAGAAGCTGAGGGTAGAATTGTTGTGCTGACAGACGTGGTCATTTAAGAAAGTGGACACAGGGTATTTTTTTTGCTAACTCTAAAATTTGCTCACTGATCTGTGAGTACTTTTCCTCTCAGATTCACAGGGAATGACCTAAATCAATTCTTCTTCCTCTTAGACTATGCTCAGAGAATGACAGTCAAAGCTAAGGAGGATATTTTATATCGATTAATGAGGTGGCAGAAGATAAGTCTACAGTAATATCAATGCCCCACTTAAATCCAAATATAAGAAAACAACCAACCAATGAAACCCCAGTGCACAGCCTGTCAGAGAGCTGGTGCTATTTAGCTATCACATAAGATGTTCTGGGTGAAAACTATCTGGGTTCCAGATACTGCACAAGTGAAGATTCCCCACTTCTGTGTAAAGAAACTCTCAGGGTTTCAGCTGTTGCTCCAGAAGGTGATGGGTCTGTGCCACAGTGCCCAGTGCCATGTGGCCATCCCACATGATGCAGGGCTTTCAATGCACATCTGTGGCACCTGAATCATCTATTTCTACCTAGAATACTTATCAGGTGTGTAGTTAGGTCACACCTGAAAATACTGAATACCTGAAATACATTTGGGGATTTTCCTTTAATTATTTAAAAGTTCACCCTAATTCGTCAGGTCTGCACCAGCCCATAAATCCATAAAAACAACTGGACAGAAATTCTTATATCAAGTTTTCCCAGAAAGTTCTTCAGTTCTCAAGACAGGTGTTTTCCTAGACATGATGACTTTAGTTGGAAAGACACACAGTATCTCAATAAACACATGCAAACAGAGGCTTGCTTTGTTTCCTAACAAAAGTCGTTCTCGGGTGATTGAGTGACAAGTAACAAAACTGGTTACAGAGAGATTTCCCACACCTTTTGTTTACTCAGGACATCCTAACTCCCTCTGTGGTGATTTCACTGTTCCCAGAGATTCCAGGCTCTCAACCTCCCCAAAATCACTCTGGCACTGCCCTAAGTTGCATGGCACTGGTGCTGTCCACCAGCAGGATGCTCCAGCCTGCCAGAAATCCAGATTTGTCTAGAAATCACTGGACACAAGGCAGCTTTTCCCCACAATGCATAAAGCTGCTTAAGCCAAACACTCTCAGAACAGATCTCACAGATTCCACTGAACTTAATAATTGAAGTTAAGAGTAGATATTTATGCTCAGACTCATACAACACAGAATTTTAAAGACAAATAAAAAGCAAGCATATCTCTTAAATATTTTACTTCTAGACTTTGTATTCATCCCATTCAAATTAGATTAGAGATTACTACACCTGCTTCACACTTATTTTTTTTTAAACAGCCTTTTATCTTCAAATAACCTCTAGTTTTAGCTGCCAAGAATATAGAGGTGAAAGCCAGTTTTTAACCTCAGAGGTAGAAGAATATCTCCCACAGAACTAAATATATATTATACCACTTTGATCACACATGAAGTGAACCTAAATTTAGCAATCTGTTTTAAATGGCTAAACCCATGCTGCTCACAGAACTTCAATGACAGAAATAAAACATTATTCAGGAAACATATCTGTACAAACTGTACTGTTTAAGCTGTTGGACACTTCACCAAAAAGGCTCCTTAAAGCCTCTGTACTAAACTAGGAGGACCAGCTCCTAAATCAAACACCACCTCCTATCTGATCCTTTCAAATCAGCTGCACTTGAGTTGAGTTCTACCACTGGAAGGGCAAATCCCTCCAGTCAGAGGCACTGCACACTTGCCTTGGACAAGGGACACCACGATGGCAGGGGCTGCACCAGGTGACCCCCGTGGTCCCCTCCAGCCTTACCCCTGCTGTGCTTCTGGGCCATGCACTTACAGCTACCTGGCAATATTCATCACCCAGTTCTGCAAAACCTGTGCAAAACGCTCTAAAAAGTTGCCTGATGGGAAAGATCTTCCCAGCACATGAAGTTACAGAGAGAGATTAAAAGGCATTAGTTGAAGGATCCAAAACAACAGTAACCACCTGAATAAAGGGTAAGGGCACTAGACCTGATGGGAAAGTGGGGGGTTCATGTCCATTATGAAATGTGGACTCTCAAAACATGTCAGATTACAAGACAACTAAGATTACTGAAGTTTTGTCTACACAATGAAACTCAGAAAAACTAACCCAGTTAATTTCATTGGATTTGTCTCTGTCCATTAAATTCCTTTGCAAACACTTTCATCTGTGAATAAAACGTGGCCTTAATTTGGTCTGGCTCATCTTGCCTTCAAAGTGAATGAAACTAAATTCACTGGAGGCCACTTTAATTATGAATGGGATAGTGCACACAGAGACTTGGTGGGATTTAAGCTGCCCTCTTCAAATTCCTACATTTAATTGACTTGCATCAATTTTCCTCGGTATCTTGTGTAGACAAGTCCTGAACGGACACATCAGACACACAAGTATAAAGCAGAGAAAGAGAAGCTATGCTGAAGAATTCTCAGCCCTGTGGGAACCATCAAAGAAAAAGAGAACTGTTCAAGTACTTTAAGTTCAGTTTTAGGATAAATACCATCAGAGTTCAGAGACCAACTGGGAAGTATTTTTAAAACACAGCTACATTTCAATTTTCAGAAATGCTATTTAAAATGTTTACTATTTGCTTACTTGAATTATTTCAGGCTAGAACTATAGAAAAAGGACAGCACTAAATTATCTTTTGAGGTGATTTATTTAAGATTTAGAGATTATAACCTATGTCTGGAGGCTAAGATTAAAGAAAGCAGAAAACTTGAAAAGATCACTGCATTTAAGAGCTATGGCACACTCCCACTGAAGAAACAGCATGGAAAGCTGGAGACACTCAATGCCTTGAAATACCTCAGTCCCCATAAAATGTTGTGAAACACCTGCCATCACTGTTAACAACAGAGGTCCTTTACTTGCACTCTGTCACTGTATTTTCATGGGGCTTCAGAGGGTTTTCATAACACTATATTTCTTACTTGAGAATGGTAACATTCTCAGAGGGGGAAAAACATCACAGATAAACAAGAAGTCCACAGAAACAGTGTCCTGAACTCAAATAAACCAAGCAAGAGACAGAGCCTTTTCAGGTGAGGATCCTCTTGCATCCCTGCATCAGCATTTTTTCAGGATAAAAAAATACCATTGCTGTAACATTTTTTCTTTCATACAAGAACAGAGATACAGAGAATGGACAGTGCTTTCCTAAGTCACAAGGCTCTCACAGCCTTTCTTTCTTTCTGTTCTAACAGAAGGCAGCTGTGCAAGGGATAAATGGAATGCCACTGATAAAGGTGGAATTTCCCTAAAACAAATACCTTCATTTTAAAACAAATTCAAATATCGATTATTCTTTTATCTGTGGGAGTGATAAAGAAGTAGGCAGTATTATACTGCACTAGAATGACAACAATTAAGATTTCAAATGTTAATCTGAGGCCTCTTATTAAACACAGTTTCATGAAGTAACACACATCTCTTTCCACTAGAATATATCTCTAAAGAAGCAATATGAACAAGCTAGCTTTCTTCCTCATATAGAATTTTTTCCTTATTTTGTCCCCTCATTTTCCTCATTTATAAGTTTTTCTTGATACGGCAAGACGATACTGTATAGAAATATTGAACATATTTCCCCAAATGTCATCCTTCTCTCAAATGAAGAAGGTATGCTGCCTAAAACTCTAAACACTGTTTTCTCTCACAAAAGCATCCATTGTATACTCTGCATGCATAAAATTAACTTCAGTGCACAAAAAGCATGAAGTCTGAGTTACCATTCTTGGATACCTATAACGTGGAGTTTCATTAGTTTTTTCAAGTTAGCTTTGCATTAAAAAGGACACTCTTGGGCCTGTAGGCACCACAGCCAACACACTGAAAACCAGCTCAACCCCCTGCAGTTTCCTTCATTTTGAGTTATTTAGCCCCTACACTGCAATTTCTAAAATCAATTGTCATAGCAACAGGAGGCTAAGCCTTCATTTCCAATGCAGATCATCCTTTCAGCCCTGTTTTTGTGCCTCAGCCGTGGCTCTGAGGTGCAGTTCTGTGCAGTCCTTTCTCCCAGGGACACACCCAGGTACCACACCTGGGTCAGGAGGCAGCTCAGCCCCAGCTCTGCTCCCCTGCAGCACTTCCTCCTCTGCTTTCCTTTAAGAACAAACAGCTGCTGCTGAAAAGCCACACTGCTAAGATTAGTTCTCCCGTTAAGGCTGCTGATTCTTGAGCTGTAAATAGATACACAGCTGATTAAAGCTACCTTTAAGCAAGTGTTTCATTTGACTTACAATAGACTTTAAATAAGAGTTCCTTGAGGCAGGTGTTGGATGGGCATTATGCTGCTGGTTTTTGGTGAGGAAAATAATCCATTTTTGCCACAGTAGAAGGTATGAATAAGCAAAATTTTGTCCCCTGAGAAATCTGAAAAAAAAAATAAAAGAGAAGTAGCATATTAATCATTGCACTTACTCATGCTATTTGAATAATAATAACTGCTAAAATCAACCTTACCTTTGACCTTAGAAGCCTAATGGATACTACTCTCAATGCAGATAAATTACCATATACAGTAATTTGCATAAAGAATATTACTTGGGCACAACCCAGATAATTTTAATAAAAAGAATTATGAATGTACAAAAATCTCCTTATGGCTGTCCTATGTAAAAATGGCAATTCACACTTTCTATTTCCTCTAACAGTTCTCTTTCCTGAGAGCATCAAATAGACCTTTCTGACTTTTCTTCTCATAAGCTTCCACAATCTAAGGCAATGAAGTAGTGAAGAGTTATTCAGGAGGAGACTCAATCAGGATAGGCATATTCTTTGATGTAAAAAAAAAAAAAGAGATGAGCACATGAAGAAAGGAAGGGCACTATTTCATGGGGTTTATTTTTAAAAGAAACAGCATTTCCCTTTGCATGTAATCTACTCTTATCTCTTAAGTTTAAGTCCTGCTGCTTGCAAATACATAATCCAATTACTATAAGCTTCACCTTATTATTTTAAAAGGCACTTACAATCAGTTTTACTGTTTCTGTTTTTTAATCCATTCACTGAACTCATCCGCTTGTAACTGGGCCCAGCCTTATCAAAATCAGGATTTAACAGATATCTGCCCAAACCTTTTCATCCAGGAAAAGATTCCTCCTGATATAGCTTTTAAAATAGGCAGAAATATAAGACAGTCCCCAATTTGTGAGAATTAGGATACGACAACAGAATGTTACATATGTACTAATTCTCATTATTTCCTAGAATACAGACAGAAATAACCGGATCTCAGTAGATAATGGTTCTTATGCAAAAACTGCCAGTTGTCTGTGTGATAACTCAATTGTAATATGAGTTAAGTACCTAAATTAACAAGTGTTAGCTCACTCAGCTCTAAGTCAACTCCTGTTTGTGATCTAATATATGTAATATCTAGTACTCTGTAAGATTCCCAGCTTTTCTTTTTTTCCCTTCACTGTGATTTATTTTCATGCAAGAATCAAAAATCTGACCAAAAAATTATTCTTTGTTGGCACTTATGAATGTCCCACATTACAGATATCCTCATATCAATGTAGATTATTTTAATAGTTCATAATAACATAAAGAGCATCATGTCACACATTGCAAAGGAAATGCAGTCAAACCACATGTGCCCATGACCTTATCTTTATCACCCTCACAGAACTTAAAAAAAACAAAACCCCTCACCTTACAGAAGTAACCTTTAATAGCTCTAACACTTTCAAAGACACTTGAACTGCAAGGGGTAAAAATAACCATCAACCGTGAATAAGCCCAAACATTTCCACATATGCAATGTTAGCAAAGTGAACTATCTATATTCTGAAACCCCTCTTAGCTCTGGGAAACAACAACATACTCTCTTCTGCTGCTGTGCTTCTGCTAAGATGTAACTTATCTGTCCTGGAAATAATCAAGCACTCAAAGTATATTCCCTTTTTCAGCTACATATTAACAAGCAACGATTGAACCATTTCTGTAATTTTGTTCAACACATCTGCTGCACAGAAAAATAAACCCTTTCCAACACTTGACCTACTTCTTCTGTTGAAAGAGGACTTATGTGCTTGCAGTACATCCTTTTTTATCACATCACAATATACCATTTAAACTACAATAACAATTATTCCACTTACTCTGCTGTTGTAACTAGGTTATCTAAAAGTTTACCCTGGACACTATGATTGTCAGGGCACAAGGAAATGCAGGGAGTTCAGCCCTTTTTGGCAGTTCTCACAAATGCACAGGAGCTTCAGCAGTGTAAGATCAACCTTAAATACTGCTCTGTCTGCTGTATTCCCTGTCCAGAGGGCCAATAAACTGAAGAACCCTCCCTGTGTAACCCCAGCTTGGCCTGGGACAAACTACACAGAGACATAAATGCACAGAACAAAATTAGCACGAGATATCCAAAGGCTCAGGGGGTAATCTCAGCTGCAATTCTTTCATCATTCTGGGGACAGATTTTTATCTTTTTACATTTGCACGGTCCCTGCAGTAACTTCTGTGTGAAGTTAGCAAAGAAAACAAGGAAACACAGACTAAAGATGCTACAAATATATTTCAAAACAAAGAACTTGATCTCAAACAGGTGTTTTGAAGGTAAAAATCAGCTGAGGCCAGAGAGCAGAGATGTTCTTCATAAAGAATGAATATCCACAGCATCTTCCTAATTTTTCCCTTTTTGTCTGACATTTCAAAGTAATCACTGACAGGGAGCTGAAGAACCTTTCTCAACTCAGTTTTCAGAAGTACCTCAGTTCTCTTCTGAGACTCTCATGTAGTGCTTGTCCTGAACTCAAAAGGGGTTCCATTTTCCATTTCTACTTCAGGATTGAAATACTTGCTACAATTTTCTCAGCAGCTTAGGACCACCTGCACAGCGCTGAAAACCTTCTTTGCTAATATTCTGTTGAACTTGGGTCACAAAGTCTCAAGTGTGTGCTTGTTTCCATTCTTTTTGTTCCATACCTGCACACTGAAGTCCTTTTAAGTCCACACATAAAGAATTATCTTCTGCATTATCAACTTTGTGCTTAGTTTGTTAAGACTTGGCTTTTTCAGTGCATTCAGACCAAGGCCTTACCTACAGTTACACTGCTCACTGGTTCTTTGCAGTTATTTCATTTAGCTCAAGCAAAATGAGGGAAAAGATATCTCCAATAATAGTGAAGCAGTAACATTCAAGAAGTAATAACAAGATCACCTGCAGGAAGGGGTTTTTAGGATGAAGATGGTCACTATCAGTATGTAGGTCCTCTTAAAGGGAAAGGACAGGCATTGAAGAAATGATAATTCTGTTCTAGCTATGGAAAGTGGCACTGCCATGTCCTGCAGATGTCTGTGTTGAAAACTGGGGGGGGAAGGATGCAAAATTCAACACACAGCATCTGTCTACAGCTCATCTACAAGGGATCTATGACTGTCTAATGTTTCCTGTTGCTGCAGACACCCGTGGCAGTTCTGTTATTCCCCAGAGTCAGGCAGCACTTCAATGATGTAACATTTTAACAACCAGTCCTTGTGGACAGTCTGAAGTGCTAATACAAACAGATCTTCTTTCTTTCTCAACCTTCATCCCCTGAAATCTCTTTATAACCCCTGCATGAGAAACATAAATGCTTTATCTATGTCCTAAGTTTCTATAGTCTTTCACAAGTTACTGATGAAGGAAAAGATTTCTTCTCTAGCTAGAAAAATCTTACTTACTCTGACTAGTGGTTCTTCCATGTGAGAAATGGAACACATTTGTCCCCTCCTTGGCTTATGCTGGTTTGACTCAGAAAATGTGTGCAGTGGATTGAGCTGACAGGGATATGAAGGCAGAAGCTTAAAGGACATCAAAAGCGTTTGCATGATGAGCTCTGTATAAATAGTCTTACTGATACAAGTCTTCAAGCATCCTTTATCTCCTTGTACACAGAGATTAGGGAAAGGCTCAAATGCTTAATTGTGTGTCAAGTGCACAGTCAGCGCATTAAGGGTTCAGTACAGTCTTTTAAAATGGAGTCTTCAGCATATTCATGCCTTGCCATAGACAATTCGGCTGCTATTTTAAACACATGGCTTGACTGTTACTCTTCACTTTACATTGTTCCTCACATCAAGGCAAAACACACAATGGTGATTTTTTCACATTCCCCTTAAAAATACTGATCCCACCAATTAGTTCATCCCACAGCTTTAGTGACAGACTGATGGGAAAGTTCTCTCTTTTACAAGTACCGTAAAAATAACAGCAAAATTGAACTTCTGAAATTCAGATTATGTACAAAAAGTGAGTCCTTGTAAGTCCTTAGATGCACATAAGCTACCAGCTTGCCAGGCATTTTTGTTATGTGCTGGAATTCTACAGTAAGCACATCAGCTCAGCGTGTACTGTGCTCAACCAGCTACAGCAGGAAAGAACACACACATTATGCAGCAAAACAGAACTGGTGATTTCCCCCCAACCCCATGACTCCCACCCTCATTTCTGTGAAACATGATGTTCCACAGTTATAGCATTTAGTTTGGAAAACTAAACTAACAAGAATAGAAGACTGAATTCATCTTTCTCATAAAAACTATGGCCTAATGTCACCTCTAAGATTTTAAAACAACTAGAGATACAAAGGAGAAAATAAAGCTTTGAGATATGGAATCTGGAACGATTCATGTCACAACATATCGAAGATGCACAATATAAGTACAGCAACTGTGTGTTTCACTTAAGCTGTGTAAGTAGCTGGCAGTCTGTGAAGAATCCAGCAGGAAAACTGAAATCCATGCACCAGACACATGCAGAGAGAAAGCCCTCCTGCCATTTGCATTGTAGGGAACAACATATCCCAGATGCAGCAGGACAGGCATTAAACAGCTCAGCAGCTGTGCTGGTGAGTGAGCACTCACAGCCTGCCATGGAGCTGCTCAGAACCTGCATCCTGAACTCTTCCTCAGCTCTTCCTGTAGGAAAGTCGTGCAGTGAAGTTGATGCATCGTCTTTTACACTGAGAAGGAATTGAAATGTTTCTATAATCAATTATAATGGACACTAACCTGTTTTAAGAATTCTGAAGACACTAATTCCTATAGTTCCTACAGCAGGATTAAAGCACAATTCTCATAAATCCTATTCAATTGTTGGAATCTTTGCTTATGTTAAAAATCTGAAAGTATTGGTGTTAGGGAAAAACATCATACTTTTTCAGTTATGGGTTATTTCCAAAACTTTCTGCCAGGGTAAAGGAGGACAGGAAGGGGCAAGCACATTATTTTTGATGCCAACTCACCATATCACTTCTCATGGTGGAAAGGGAAAAATGTGGCAAGCTTTGTTCAATGATCTAAGCAGAAAATTACCATCTCTGAATAAAGTCCTGAAGAAATTGCTCAGAGACAGCCTGCTGCAGTTGAAAAGGTCT